GCAACTTCATACATGTAAAAATAACAATATCTGTGAAGATGACAGGAAATTTTTGTAAAGGTTGCAGATAACATTCTGTTATAGTTACAGATATACATTTGTACAGTTTCACGATATTAAAATGTTAATATTAACCCTTTGCACTCCGCGCCATCCCATTTAACCTTAAAATGTCCCCTCAGAGGGAACATCGGAGTGCAAAGGGTTAAAATCTCCCCAAATTCCTAAATAGTTCTTTTAATGGTATATTGTCCCATATGTCAAAACATAAATCTAAATCTCCTTTACAATTGCATCGTCCTCGATCGATCCAATACCGTAGCGTTAATTTAGAATTAGATTCAGATTAATGAACAAATCATTTCTACTACGCTAACAGTGCGAGCGTACCTACGCTCAAACCGCGCCACCCTTCACGCCGTCATACCTGCTCCGCCAAGGGTAGAGGACCGCCATAGAACCCCCCGTGGTCAAGACGCTCGTCTCCCTTTTTTCGATGTTTTAGAGGTCTATTGTTTAAAGGCGCCCATCTGTCGTTCTCGACTCACATGGAAACCATCAAGTCGCAGACTTTTCCAAACTTTCCGAGAAGGACAATTTATTTCTTCAGCGCTTAAGCCTCGTTTTTTTAATTTCTGTACGTACTTGATGAGTGGCAATTTGTCACCATATTTCTTTGGTCCTTTTCCGAGTTCCTTCTCAGAAGTACTTCTCTAGGAGTCCATCTTGCAGTCCCCACCTACACCTCCTTGACTGCAATGACTTCCCAACCAACCAATCGGCTGCATTACAAAATGCAGCCCGTTTTTTTCTCTCAGCCTACGTAGAATCTTCAGCCTACAGATCCTACCGAAACTCCGCCATTTAAAAACTTTCTCCGAGGTCTCGATACCCTGAGATTTTCATCGTCAAGACAGAATTTGTTCATCCTCCAAGAAAAGCACTTTCTCCGGCACAGACGCGACTAGCCATTAGTTCAAACGCGGAACTCTTTCGCTCGGGTCGTAACATACGAACATTGTCACACAGTTCAGTGTTCCGTATACGTAAAATAAACACACATTATTACACGAAAATACTCGCGTGAGTTTCCGTTAAAGTTACTGCGAGATCCGTCGCACTGTAGTGCACGGAACAATCAAGAATGAATCATATTCAATTATGATTCATATTCAACCTATATATAGGTATCCAGGATGAAAAAACGGAAATCAAGAACTTCTTTATAACCATCGAGAAAATTGAATATGATTCATTCTTGATTGTAAAGGAGCTTTAGATTTCTATTTTGTCATACGGTTGAATATCCCACTAAAAGAGCTATTTAGGAATTTGGAGAGTTTCTAATATTAACATTTTAATATCGTGACACTATAACGAGGATCGGGTGAAGGGGATAAGGGACGAGAAAGAGAGCACTCGATGAGATAAATGCGGATCGTATTTTCTTTAACCTACGCTAAAACCTTAACCTGTACTCTTAATTACTACTTACGCCTAGTCGCTTAACTACGCGAGCGCGGGTGGACCACAATGGAGGATCGGCCGGCGCCTTGTAGCGGTGGCTCGGCGGCGGCGCGGCGTCCCTGGACAGGCCGGATCGGCAGCAGCGGTGGGCCCTCACAGTCGAGTCGTTCGGTCGGTCGGCTGGGGTTGGCGGTATGTCGGTGCTGGCCGGGTTCGGGTTTCGAGGAGTCTGGAGGCACAACGGAGAGCTCTTCTTCGATCTCAGGTTCCGCACGTGGTCGAGAGGGAAGTCCCCTAGCGGGCTCCGTCCCGCTGCGCCTTTGGCCGTCTTTGGACCGGTTCGGCGGCGCTCGGGCGCGTCGGCGCGGTGCTCGTGGCCGCGCGGCCAGCGCGGCGGCTCAGGGGCCTGAGGGCGCCACTGGCCTCGCGGCGCGTTCTTTGAACGGCGTGACGGCTTGGCCGTCACAACACCTTACAGACGTGTATCTGTAACTATTACAGAATTTTATGTACAACCTTTACAAAAATTTCCTGTTATCTTCACATGGCCTCCAAAAGGCAACGACGTGGGGGGGGGGGGGGAGCCATCCGTAAACCTCCTCGTGGTGGGGCTGGATGCGGATCCCTATGGATCCGTAACGAAACGGCAAATGGCTACTGGGGAACCATGAGAGATGCTCGCTCTGCGGAGTTTGATCGCACTCTTGTTCCCCCTAGAGTTACCGGCGAAAGGTGGCCCTCATCATGGGAATACTTCTCGACCGGACGGCTGGAGGTGCTCCGGGTAACCCGTCCCGTGTCCTCGGTTTATCCGGGTGCGGGTTGGGGGCCGGCCCTACCGGCCGTAATAAGAAGGCCGGCGACGCTAGTACGGGCCGATAGGTGGGATAACCGATTCTATATTTGCCGGGTCAACTCGGCCGATGGATCGGGTTCCCACCCGACCTAGCCTGGAAAGCTCGTCAAACCACGCTGGAGCATTATGTCTCAGCTGGCGCCTTGCACGAATGCTCGCACCACGCGGGTGCAGGGGAGGGACCTCCTCGAGGTTCCCCGCGGGCAACGGGTGGGGTCAAGCGGCCTCCTTCGGGGAGTGCGTCGCGGAGGCCCTGTCCCGGCAAGCGCCTCCCCAGGGTTTGTCGATCGGTCCGGAGCATTCGGGTTTTTCCCGGCCTGTCTTGGGCCTTCGGGCCCCTTTGGCGGTGGGTTCGCCGGGTGGGGATCGGAAAGTAACCCCCCAGCAATGGGGGGACCGCTAAGTGGCCCAGAGCTACAGGCGCGGTGGGGCTTGCCCTATACCATACGAATGTTATCTTCACATATATTGTTCTGTTATGTGTACATGTGTTATGTATACATGTAAAAACATGTATCAAGTTGTATTTTTACAGTTACTTATCCGTAATACTTTCGGATATTTATCCGTAACACTTACAAATATTTTGCTGTAATCTCTATAAATAGTTATCTGTAATCTTTATGGAATCGAGTAATAGAAACTTAACTCTAACGCTAACAAAAATAATTTGCTGTCCCTATTCCAACATAATATTGTATCGGCCTTGCGGCCGACCGCACCTGGAGGGTGTACCTCCCTATCGGCCCCCCCATTGCTGGGGGGTTACACCTCCTACCCCACCCGGCAACCCCAACGCCAAAGGGGCCCGAAGGCCCAAGACAGGCCGGGAAAAACCCGAATGCTCCGGACCGATCGACAAACCCTGGGGAGGCGCTTGCCGGGACAGGGCCTCCGCGACGCACTCCCCGAAGGGAGGCCGCTTGACCCCACCCGTTGCCCGCGGGGAACCTCGAGGAGGTCCCTCCCCTGCACCCGCGTGGTGCGAACATTCGTGCAAGGCGCCAGCTGAGACGTAATGCTCCAGCGTGGTTTGACGAGCTTTCCAGGCTAGGTCGGGTGGGAACCCGATCCATCGGCCGAGTTGACCCGGCAAATATAGGATCGATTATCCCACCTATCGGCCCGTACTAGCTCGCCGGCCTTCTTATTACGGCCGGTAGGGCCGGCCCCCAACCCGCACCCGGTTAAACCGAGGACACGGGACGGGTTACCCGGAGCACCTCCAGCCGTCCGGTCGAGAAGTATTCCCATGATGAGGGCCACCTTTCGCCGGTAACTCTAGGGGGAACAAGAGTGCGATCAAACTCCGCAGAGCGAGCATCTCTCATGGTTCCCCAGTAGCCATTTGCCGTTTCGTTACGGATCCATAGGGATCCGCATCCAGCCCACCACGAGGAGGTTTACGGATGGCTCTTGGTCGCGTGGGAGCTGCCCCTCCCCCACGTCGTTGCCTTTCGGAGGCCTCCCTATTCCAACAGATAAAATCGATACAATTTAAAGATTTTTTCTATAAGTTTGACAGATTTTTTCTCTCCGTGTAGAAATATTCGCGCGTCCCAACCAGCCAAGCGCCAACGCTACGAGTCGAGGTGCGAGCATGCATCTGTTCGACCCTCACACTCATAGCAAGCATGCGTGAGGGTCTAATGGTGCGAAAAGTCCTCTCGAGGCTTATCTAGCCGTGGATCTAAGCCGAGCCATGTCGCGTATGATTTTTACTCTCCCTTACATAACAATAAATAGATATTCCTTTTGGTGTTCCATTTGGTTGTATTTGTTGACAATGGAGCAAAATTTATATTACCTATAGTTAAACAAGTTATGAAGTATCAATAAGTAAACATCGTTTATAATTTCAACTTCATATCGAACAACTTCCAATTTCTCACCATTAGGAAGCATTCTTTGCGTAAATTAGTATGTAATTGGAAAAACTGTTGAGTTAAGTGCACGGTCTCAATTTTGACCAATTATGGAATAAATGCTTCCTAATGTTGAGAAATTTGAAGTTTTTCGACATGAAGTTGATATTATAAACGATGTTTATTTATTGATACTTCATAATTTGTTTAACTACCGGTAAAATAAATTTGCTCCATTGTCAACAAATACAACCAAATGGAACGCCAAAAAGAATATCTATTTATTCTTATGTAAGGAAAAGTAAAAATCACACTCGACATGGCTCGGCTTACATCCTAGGTAAGCCTCGGGAGGATTTTTTGCAGGATTCGAGTTTCACGCATACTCGCTATGAGTGTGAGGGTCGAACACGTGCATGCTCACGCCTTGACTCGTAGCTTGGCACTTGACTGGTTGGGACGCGTGAATATTTCTAAGATTGATTGCACTCACATAGATTCGCTGCATGTAGGTTCCGTACGTGACACCGCCATGCTCAACGCTCCGCATCTGCATTCAATTACAGTACTAATCGGTATTTCAGAGTATGATTGGATTTGATGTGTAACGACTTTCTGTCGATAACTGTCAGTGGGTACCTGTTTCTCGGCTCTGCGCCAGCTCAATCAAACCAGACTGGACTCTACGTTTACCGACGTATCGCGCCTTTCGATGCCTCAGCTACTACGAGGGCAGCACCGCGCAATAGTTATGAAGTAGGGGGCCTGGTTATTCTCATCTTCTCTCTGGTTGGCATCACTAGAGTCTGCTAGAGTCTGCGCAGTGAAGACCAGTGAAGACTGGTGCCATAAGGAACAACCAACCAACCATTTCTCATAAAAGTGTTTGTAGTTTTCAGTTAGAAACGCTCATCATTGAATTCCGAGTAATCAGAGAATCAATTGTCTGTGGGATGAATAAGCAGAGAAAGTGAAGCAAACAGACGTTCCTTCCCCCCAAATTTGTGTATATTATAAGTGAGTAACATTTTCTCTGTTTATCTTTTTTACTTTTGACGTGCATAATAATAATTAGTTTATTACGTCCATTCAGAATCATTCACACGTATAGTTCAAAATAAGTGGGACTTAGCTGGTGCAAAGACACCACTTCCATTAATCAGATGAGATTTAGTTGGCGATGGGGAAAGGATATTCCATCACAAATTCAATAATCAACCATTCTACATGACTGTATCAGTGAGACTGCAGGTTGCAACGTTTCTACTCTAAAACCTGACAAAGTATATTCTAATCAGTGTGTGTTGAAAAAATTATTTAGTAATACTATTCAAGTTTCGAGCAAATTCACTTGAATCGTTTAGTTTACAGACTATTCAGTGAAAAAATTCTCTTCAAATAACCTCAAAATGCAACTAATGTACTTTTGATAACTAAATCAAATGGTAATATTTTCAGAACGAAAAATTTTCTTCCGTGGAATTTTTCATTTTCTCACAATTTCATTGAAAATTTCAGTAAAAAAATTATTTGACTAAAGCCAAACTAAGAAAAGTAGAATGAGACTCAAGAGCGTATTTGAAATGAATGTCTATTTGAATTATTACCGATTTCAGTGACTGAACTAAACTTACCCCAATTGTGTGATGGGTACTACTGAATTTTTCTTTTTAAAGCACTTCAATTAATATATGTTTTGTTAGTTTTTTAAGCAACGTTTCTGCAGTGTAACTGTTGTATCAATAGGGATAGTATCATTGTCTATGATATTAATACTATCATTGCATACTGTCATAACATAAATATCATTGACTACACCATTCGTTAAACCAATTTTATTTACAAGTAGGCAATTAGGAAAAAGGTACCAGTCAGCATGTAATAATAGTTAACTATCAAAGACCTAGTAGACCAAGTTTGATCAATATCTATTCAGTGAAAATTTTCGAAGACTGCAATTTGATTTTCATTAATTTCCTTTGGTTTCATTAATTATAACAATGTTGCAATGTTTAATATTGGCATTTGGCACTAAGATCAAGCACAGAGGTTGTTTTTCTTAAGCTTGATATCAATCAACATTTATAATAATTTGAAATTGTTATTCGTCTCACATATCAAGCTATCAATCAAGATCACATTGTTTAGATATTGCACAAGCTATTAATAGTTCTTTTGTTTAAAATATTTAATACTTCTTCTTTAATAATACTTTTTGGATTTGTAGATTTTGCAGGCCCTCTAACTGTTACATTCAGATTTCTGTTTATGGTTGCTGCTTATTGCCTAGTAGCAATCTTTAAATTATGTCTTATATTAAAATCTTTGAATTATTGCAATAGTTCAATTTTTTCAGTACTCTTTGCTGAGTCTTCTCCTAAAAGTATCTTTGATAAGTAAATGTTTGTTTTGTTCTTATATTAATCTGTTTTTGGCCAAATGTGATTTGGTTACCATTTCTGTTGTGTCTTAAATATTATATTGTGATATTGTATTAATTAAATGTTTTCTTTTAAATAATTAGTAGGAATCAGCAGTATGAAAAATGTTATCTTATAAGTGACAGAAGAAATGCAGATTTTTCCAAATTCAGATTTTCAGTTTTACTGACTTCATTCAAGTCTAAAATAAATTATCTGTATTGAAAGTGACAAAACACTTTAATTATAAAATCAGTAAATTTCAAGATTACCTTTATCACATCCAATGCCACAATGATCACCAGTGATGGATACACAATATATGTTTTAATACAATACAATCTACATAATGTGAATGAAGTCTGTCAAAATATATGTGACATTAAATGTATTAAGTGTCAACATAACTTTGGTTAATGTGACATTAACTTAGTTGGGTATGAACGTGGCTCTTATTGTCAATAACGTAATTAAAGGAATATAAAACTAAACTTGTTAATGAAAGTATATTTTATGAAGTTCACTCTAAATAATGAAGAATGTACTATTGGAAGAAAATTGTTGGACTATGTCAAAATGAATAAGACCTATAATAAAATGTCCTGACATATAAGAGTTTTCTGAATGTTTAAATAACTTTAACCGTTACAAAAATTGTTCTCAAATATTGCTTGAAAATTGTTTTTAATATGTTCGATACCAATGTCACATATTCGTGACAGTTTTGACTACTTCACAAAAAGTTTGGGCTATGGTAGGTAGTTTTTTTATCAGACTGCAGTAGCTAATGTGTTAATAAATGATTATTTGTATAACTCATTACAGGCATTAAAGCATAAGTACAAAGTAATGTCGTAATGTTTATTTTGGTAAATGTATTTACAAACAATAGTTTTTTTGTATGATAATAAACTGAATGTATTATCAATTATTTATCTTGTAGAAGATGCCTTGGTTTTTTGGTAGAAGAAAGCAAAAGGATTCTCCTCCAGAGTCTGGTGAGGAGGAACCATCTTCTGAACAAGGTGATGACTTCATTTTCATTGAAAAGAAGGGAAATCCGATGAACTCTAATACTGACAACGATGAATCAAGTGGACGGCTTTATCCAGCATTGGGTGGTGCGGTATCTTATCCACCTCCCTTACCATCAAACTTATTTCAACAACATCAAACTGAAGGAGTTAATTACTTCAGTAATGTTCCTTTTAAACTGTGCAAAGAATTACAAAGTAGCATGAATAATGATGCTGCCATAGATAAATTGCGAGTTAGTGAAATCTCTTCATTTATAGAAAGAATTGGGAATGAGGATTACTCTTATGACTTTTTTCTTGAAAAGAGTGTAATTAATGAGATGAACAGTGTAAGTGAATGAGATATAATTTGACTTGAGTTCATTTTAGATTTTAGAGTTAAATGATATAATTATATTTTAATAACATCTCAAAATAAGCTTTTTGGAAAAACTCGTTAAACAAATGCCACGGTTTTGCCTTAGCCTTGATTAAATTGGCATAATTAGGTTTTTAACTGTTAGTCAAATGTACTTTATGCCTTATAGCAATTGCTTAATGAATGTGATTGCTGTAGTATTTTTAATTAGCAATCAAATAAGTTGTAATTATCAATGAATTGAATTTACCTGTTAAAAGTGTAAAACTTGATGTAGCAATCAACTGTTATTTTAGTTAAGCATTATTTTACGCTATGATCTTATTCTTAAATTAAATCTTTATATTATAGGACTACCTATTGAAAGAACTTAGAAATAATATTGATTTTTGAAGTATTTGAAAATTAAGAATCAACATTATTTATGGACATCCTGGATATATGCTTGCGCGCATAAAGGATTTCATGTGTACTTGATTTTTGTTTCGTATTTTCACAAAACTCAAACATAAAATTAATACATTAGTACTTTGAATGAAGTGAATATCTTTAATTAAAAAGAACCAGTAATATAGTATGATTGTTAAATGCAACTTCTGAAGAGGTGTATCATTGCCATGATTTATTGCCATACTTTTTGAAGAAAAAATGCATAATATAATTAGCTTACAGTTATTACGAAGTATCATGTCACGAATATCAATTATTTTTAAATAGCTTAAACCTAGTAAGTATACACTTACAATGTAGTACTTAACATTTCATCTACCGACGAATTCCGAAGTAAATGACGATTACGGGTATCATAAAAACGATTAATAGATTTCTGGTAGATAAAGTGTTAAGTTCATAGTAAAAAAAATGTGAAAAGTGTAGTTTGATTAGAAATTAAACTAATAGGTTTATAAAACTCTATGAAAAAATTTAATTGAACCGTGATATTGATTGTAACGAATTGTTAGAGTATATAGGACAAGTTGTTTGTATGTGTAGCTATATAAAATTCGTACAAACATAAAGCAATGCTCATTTATGTTGAACTGCTACGTTTAAAATATTAGATATACTTAGAACAAATAACCCACGATTATAAAAAGAATTGAATCCAAATAGGAGCACAATGAATAGCTTGTAATAAAAATCGAATTATTAAAATGTATAAACCTAATGATAAAAGAAATAAAATATGGTCATAATAGCAAAGCTTTATTGAGCACAATCAATGCTATGCTCTGAACCTGTGAGAACAGATTTACATGCACAAGTTAATACTATATCTTCATTTACATTTCTTTGTACATTAAGTTTTAAATAAGAAACAACTGTCAAATATTGTGTAAAACTTTAAACAGAATATAGGCGAAATCAAAAAGATCAGTTTTGTTATTGCATTTGGAGGAGTCTTTGAAAGCCGATTACACACACATTATTTTTCTTGATATTATATTGAGAAAGCATGAAATTACCTATTTTCATTTAAACTTAAATTAAGTTAAATAGTATGAAAAGGCCCATGACAATTACAACAAATGGTAACCAGGTCTTTAGGAACCCAGCTAGCCTGAAAATAAAATGTAAATGTAACATACAGCAAATTAATAACAGTGAAGAATCTAAATTAATCTTACCCAATGTGTTTTCCATGTATCGTCATAGATAATCCCACACTGCACATATTCCAAGTCCTCGAATTGTTATAATTCATTAAGTTCAGTGCCAAAGCCACAAAAGAATGACAGTTATCACAACATAGGTTGTGCTAAAATGAAATCAATTCTGACTTATACACAAATTAAATTATTCCATGGATTACATTCTGAACATTTCATCATGGTTACTCTTGTGAGATTGTTTTTTACCATTCTCGTCTTATAAACTTCAGCAGCCTCACTAATGGCAGCATCCCATGCTTGAGCACTGCCACTAACAGAGGTATGTTTTAACTGCCAATACTTTGTAGGCTGCCCAAAAGCCATATTATCTTCTTGTACTACATATGGTCCTGCAAAGTCTCGGATAATCCCAGAGGACGTTGCTATGCCAATGTGTCCCAAGAGGGGAATCAAATATCTAATCAACAGGAAACGTTTGGTTAGAATAATTAATTGATGTATATTTCGTCAAAATCAGAGTCTATTTAACATTGCTTATACCATAATTCATGTTAGATATTAGGTTATTTCCATTTTAATTAAACACTTTATATATTGTTCCACACTTTAAACATCAGTCGAATTGGTAACAAAAACGATATTTTTCAACTTACGATAGTATAGGAATTGGAGTCCAGACAATACAGAACGGAAATCTCTGCTTTTCTGGATCAATGTTTAGATCCATTGGTGAAGTATTTGACACTTCGGTTGACTGCATCAAAATTTCGCCTTTCATAGTAAAGGAGAGGAACATGCATCACATTTTTCTTCTAGACATTCCCCTCAACATCCGTGTTCATCATTTTTGTTGTTATTATCATTTATTACCAATGAATTCCGACCATTCTGTCGTCTCTTAGAAACCAAACGATTGCTTAAAATGCGTGGCAGAGATGAGTTGGGAGATTACTCACGGGCAGGGTCGCGCGATCGCATCGTGTGCTGCCCTCTGGTTTTGTACGTGAGCTTTCACCGTTTTTTGCGCCCAAGGGCGGCGCAACAAATTTCTGACAGGGACTCACGCACTCGCGATGGCGGTGCCATCTACCAGTCGCCGCTGGCGGCTCACGTACTCGTGATGGTAAT